CGGCGGCGGCGGTGGTGGTGGTGGTGGCGGCGGCGGCGGCGGCTGTGACATTGATGTGGCCAGTAGGCAAGAGAGCCTTACTCTCCGGATTGAAAGAAACGAGTTTTCCCGCCAGCTGGTAGCCTTCCAAACAACGGCTTCTGGTGCATCGGATTAGTTAAAATGCCCATCAGACTGTTCATAGTGAGAAATGCGTTGAAGTGCCACGAGTATGAATTTCGCAGTACTGACCTGACCCTCTCTACTAACCCTCTCACGCATCAGTCTGCCGTCCGGGCGCAAATGACTCACAGAGTTCAATAACCCTTCATCGCACGTTGATTAATTCATTCATCTCCATAAGTCTCTAAATTGGAATTATTTTTGTCAGACGTATCGAACCTAGTACTATAAAAAGTAGACAAATAAGAGTACTTTGAGCAGGATAACAGAACTTGCTGAAGTACAAAACATAACTGAAATTTTTCCCCAAATATTGCGCATTTCAACAGTGGGTGTACTATGCCGTGCCTATAAACACTCACAGTTCGGTTCATTCCGCGCCTATAAATGCAGCTTCGGACGTTGCCGTCCCGTCTAGTCCGACAATCCTGAATTTTTGCCCAGTATATGGCGCCATCAGATTACCTCGACTGACAACTGTGTAATATATTTCACCAATCAACAGACTACACGCAAAACCTTAAAATTATTTTAAAAATTAAAGAATGTCGCCTGGGAGATAACAATTAATTACAAACCTGGAATTTCGGGTGCCAGTACGTCATACTATTGATAATGAGACAGATTCCTCGTCGTGGGCTGGCCATTGGATAGTATTCATTGGGATCCATTAAACTGGCCCTTCGGCGGGCTCTGAGGGGAATGGGCTTTGGTGGAGGTGGTTGGGCAGGGACCTACCCAAAATAAATTCCGATGAACAGTACATTTATTATAAATATCTACTTGTAAGTTGTCAGTAGAGCTAATTAATTACAACTGACCACATAAATCTGGTGGAACAAAATACCTGATCGGCGACGAGAAGCGGTGCCGGGCAGGTCATACCGGGAACACTGAGGCACACTGAGGGTCGTTTCCTGGATAACTGAAGATCAGATAGCCTTGAGGATCGCGACAAAGCGCTCTCCAGCCTCTCAGTTGGCAGTGCTGGCATGTATTCCGGTTGCTGAGATCCCTTGGCGCCCACTTTGAGACTGACCGCCCGTCGTCGGAATTCTAAAGTGCGGGATAAATTCGCCAGATTAACAGCAGTGAAGCAAGCTCCTCTGAACCAAAAAACAGTAAGTCGTCAATGTGTGTACCAGAATCATCGGACTCCACGATGTCGTCTTCTGTTATTTTTGCTGCTTTCATGCAGAAATCATTTGAGCTTTGACTTGGAGAATTGTTTACAAAGGGGTCGTCTCCTTAAAAGGCACAAGAAAAGAAGCATAAGTAGTCAAGGAAGGGCGACGAATGGCGACTCTGATAATCCAAGTCCCATTGGACCGGCGCGCGTTATCTAGTTGGATAACAGGTCAGACTACAGAGGTTCCGTTCTACCACGTAGGTTAGAGTGGCAGTCCTTGCGACGGCCGGATAGCAACTAGCAATCAATAATCCAACACTATAAGATGAAACGGTTCTTGCAGGCGTATTTATCACCCTCGGTTGGGAAAGGACTGGAAGCTCTGAACTTAAATCGAGCAAATTTGG